TCTTTATTCTGATGGTGGTGGCGAATACACAAAACTTAAACCTTTTCTCGCCTCCCATGGCATTACTCATCTCACCACACCTCCCCACACTCCCCAACATAATGGTTCTGCCGAGCGCCGCCATCGTCACATTGTTGAGACCGGCCTTACCCTCCTTCATCAAGCCTCTATGCCACCACTTTACTAGTCTTATGCCTTTCAAGCTGTTGTATATCTCATAAATCATCTTCCCACTCCTCTCCTTAAATCATCCTCCCTCTACACATCTCTTTTTGGTCAAACTCCGAACTACCATAAACTTCGTATTTTTGGTTGCCAATGTTTTCCGTGGTTACGACCTTACAATACCCATAAACTCCAACCCCGCTCTCGTCCTTGTGTCTTCCTTGGCTATTCAACCTCTCAAAGTGCCTGTAAGTGTCTTGACCTATCCTCCAATCGTCTTTACCTTTCTCGTCATGTCGTTTTTAATGAGTCTATTTTTCCTTTTGCCTCTCATGTCTCACCTCTCTCCTTTGTTTCTCATTCCGCTATCCACTCTTGGTCGGTCGCAGCTAATCCGGGACCCATTCATGACCCTCTGTCGGCGCCACTAGCCTTGCCTCCTGCTATTACAGCCATGCCACTTGCCCCTGCCATCGTGTCCCCTGCCCCTGCAGCACCATTGCCCGCACCAGCAGCACCAACGCCAGCTCATGTTGCACCGATGCCTGCCCCGTGTACACATCCTTCTTCTTCTGTCTTGGGTGAGTCTTCTCTCGTGTCCCCCACCTTCTCTCCTCTCCCATCCTCCTTTCTTCCTTCTTCTGAGGCTCCCATTCCCTCATTGCCCTCCCCTCCACCACCACATCCCCCTTCTCGTGTTGTTACCCGCTCTCAAAATAATATCTTTAAACCTAAACAGCTTCACACCACTACTAAACAGTCCACTACCCAACATCCTCTTCCACCCTCCCTTGAACCTACCTGTGTTTCGCATGCCATCAAAGACAGCAAGTGGCGCTCCGCCATGTCCGATGAGCTTACTGCTTTGGCTCGGAATGGAACTTGGGAGCTTGTTCCCTCTCGCCATCATCAAAATTTAATTGGATGCAAGTGGGTGTTTCGCATCAAGCGTCATCTGGATGGAAGTATTGACAGGTACAAGGCTCGTTTGGTGGCAAAAGGGTTCCATCAGCGCCCCGGTATTGACTTCTATGAGACCTTCAGTCCGGTGGTTAAACCCACCACTATACGGGTTGTCCTCCATCTTGCCCTTGCTCGCGGCTGGCCCATCCGGCAACTTGATGTTAATAACGCCTTCCTTAGGAAGTGTTTATGTCTCAATCTCCTGGTTTTGTTAATTCCACTTATCCCTCTCATGTGTGCAAGCTCCACAAGGCCCTTTACGGTCTTAAACAGGCACCCCGGGCATGGTACAAGGAGTTGAGCTCCTTCTTGGTTTCTTATGGTTTTCATCACTCTAAATCTGACGCTTCTCTTTTTGTTTATCACCACGATTCTATTATGACTTACTTTCTTGTCTATGTCGACGATCTAATTGTGACTGGCAGTGACAGGTTGTTCATCACCAAATTCCTTGACACTCTTGCTCAACGCTTCTCTATCAAGGACTTGGGTTTTATACATTTTTTTCTGGGTGTTGAAGTTATTCCTACACAATCTGGTTTGTTCTTATCACAACACAAGTACATTCGGGATCTTCTCATTCGCGCTCACATGGAAGGTGCCAAGGATGTTTCAACGCCCTTGTCTACCACCCCTGCCCTTGTGCTCAATGATGGTGCAACCCCTACTGATGCCACTCTTTTTCGCAGTCTTCTTGGTGGTCTCCAATATCTGAGTCTTACCCATCCAGACATTGCCTTTGCCGTCAACAAACTCTCTCAATTCATGCACCAGCCTTCTGAACTCCATTGGGCTGCTCTCAAACGCCTGCTCCGCTATCTCAAAGGCACCATCTATCATGGTCTTCATCTTCATCGCAACACCACTCTCTCTCTCCATGCCTTCTCTGATGCGGATTGTGCCGGCAATCCTGACGATCGCACATCCACCACTGCCTATACCATTTTTCTTGGTGGCAATTTGATCTCATGGAGTTCCCACAAACAACGCTCTGTTGCTCGCTCCTCTACTGAAGCCGAGTATCATGATGTTGCTTGCACCGTTGCCGAGCTCTCCTGGTTACATAATTTACTTCATGAACTGGGTGTTTTGCTTCCTTCACCCCCTGTTATTGCCTGTGACAATATTGGTGCTACCTTTTTCTGTGCCAATCCTGTTCTTCATTCCTGCATGAAACATATTGCCATTGATCTTCACTTTGTTCGTGATCTTGTCGCTCAAGGCCTTCTAACGGTTGCTCATGTTTCCACTATTGATCAGTTAGCCGATGCCTTGACGAAACCTCTTTCTCGCCAGCGCTTCCAGTTACTTCATTCCAAGATTGGAGTCACCGACGGTGGCTCCATCTTGCGGGGGCGTATAAGGGAAGCTGTAATTTCTCCTACACTGCAGCCGTATCAAAATCAAATAAAATAGCTGTCTGCTATTAGTTTACTTTCCTTGTATATATTGTTGACTTAGAATATTCAATTGTAATTTATTTTCTTTCCTTCTTAGATACAGAAATCTCTGTATATATGTAAAGGTTTTTTGCCCACTCAAAATATCAATTGAAAACATATTCATTCTACATTTGGTAGGATATATATGATTTACATTACTTGGATTAAATTCAGCGACCATTGGATTAGGATCTACATTATTTGAGCCTTGGGGTTTATTCCTAATAAAAATTGGATTCACGAACCCTTTGGGTTCACTTCAGAATAATTGTTGAATTGAAAGGTAAATGGCAGGTGTTGAGAGTGTTTATCCCACATTAAAAAATTAAGGAACCTAGTATGGGTTTATAAGGGGATGGGCTACTCCCCATTGCTAATTGGTTTTGGGTTGGAAGAGTGGGATAGAAGAGTTGCTGCACTCTCTCCACTGCTTGTTTTTCCTTTTTCTTTTTAATACCTACAAGGACATTTTATCAACTTTAAAAATACAGAATATTATGTGTTTTTTTATTTTTCTGTAAGAAGAATTTATTTCTTTATTTTATATATTTATTTATTTATTTCGTTGTTAAGAAAGATGTTGGGAACATGGGTCTTGCATGTTTCTTGGGTTCCTCCAATGCAATGGGGACAATAGGTACTCAAAGTGGAAACACGCACGTTATTTGGGCCCAATAAGAACATTTCAATATTTATTTATTAAAAAAAATTATATGTTGAGTTTGTAGAACTGGATTCATTTGACCATGGGTGGTACTGCTGGCAAAGAGGAGCGGATGGGGGTTTTGCCGTCAAGCCTTTAAGATGCGTGTTGTTGTCGGGTTGTGATATGGTTGTTGGGTTGTTTGATTTTCATTTGATTTTTTGTTTTTATTTATTTTCAATTATTTATATTGAAATTAATTGTTTTTAACATAATATTAAATCTTTTTTAACGAAGCAAATTCACGAAATAAGGCATTAGACTGAATTTGTTAACTACTGCAAATACAGTGACGAAATCGGAAAAATTGAAATCACAGTGACCAAATTTGATTTTGAGCCAAAACTCATTGACCAAAAATATAATTAACCCTACTTATAAATTACAAGAATTGCTAATATGTAGTGCATAAGTTACATGAAATTCAAATAATGAAGTAATAAATACTAATGCACTAATAGGGATAAATGTGATGCAGCTCACAAGTAGAAATTTGACCGAGAGTCGTTTCATTGATTTTGGAGGTCTTGGGCAAATATGAAAAATGAAACCTTTTTGGTTTAACACTTACCTCATTTTGAACAAAAATTATAAGAAAAAGTTTCAAACTTAGGTGGTAAGTAGGTTAATTTAAGTTTTTTTCAAAGGCGCATTATATAAAAGATAAAGCGCCCAAAAAGCATTAGTTTCAACACATAAAAGGCGTTTTTTGATTGTATACTTAGTCGAGGTCCCATTGTTTTAGGGGCCATGTGCGGTCGCTCCAGTTCGACCACCTTGTGGGCCGATCTTAAGCTGACTCATTAGCTTATTAAGTCGGGCCTAGAACAAAAAGAGTATAATTAAAGTTGGGCCCAACACGTCTTATATTTTTTGGGCGAGTCGGGTCAAGGTAATTCGGTCGTCGCGAGCTCACTGTCATAGCCCATGCTAACCGAGACCCAATGAGCCAACCCATTTCTATTCCATTTACTATATTATATTTGTTTTTGGAGAAAAAATGTTACATAATATTATTATTAAATATATCTTAAAATTTAACCCCTTCTAATAACAAATTTTTAAAATATCTTTTTTTAAACTCAAACAATAGTCTAATCATTGGCTTTTTTTTTGCAAAAATATAAATAAAAAGCTCCCTAAACAGCTTCAAATGCTAAAAAGTACCTAATTTGTTCCGGTCCAGTCGGGTTACATGTTGTAGTAAGCTGGTTCTTATTAATATTATTTTACAATTTCTATTCCAACTTTACCCTTATAGCACGGTTTTCATCATCATCTTACCATGAAAACAAAACAATACAGATAAAAACCATGGCGGCTCCACCATGGTTTGATAAATTTTAAATTATTACAAAATTATATTTTTCAGGTTTATAGGAGAATGACAAAGGAATATTAGCAATATAACATTAAATCAATTTTGAGGGTTATGTTTTTATCAAATGGTGATTCGGCATCAAGTCTTGTTATTAGGAATGCACAAGGTCGTCTAATTCCGCCGTTCGCTTAGGGGAAATTTTAATAGATAACTATAAAGAAACCCATTTCTAGCTATAGAATCACAAAAATACCCTACATGAAATTGACTTCATAAACACACTCTATCTTTCATTAAACAGACTTCATAAACACACCCTACTATTGCCAGCTGTTTTTTTTTCTAGTTTACTTAATATACAGATTTCCTGGTTTACCCTTTAGTGTGAAATTCATATAAAAAAAACTCAAAACTGAATTATTACTCACATGCTTTACCCTTTAGTGTGTTTAAGACCCTGGACCTTGGTGTCCGGGTTCAAATCTCTGGGCGCCCAAACCAGAAGGAGAACGACGACCATTGGGAGATGATGGAGGAGGTTCAGCGGAGTTTGCTTTTCGTGTCGAAGCCCAAGGCGTGTACGGAGCACGAAGAGATGGAGCAGGACAGCGGGGGATCGTCGAAGGAGATGGAGTCGCCGAGGTCGATTGGGCGATGGAGGCGGAGGGCGAAGAGGGAGGGGTCCGTGCATAGCCAGATCTTGAGAATTAGGGAGGAGGACGCGCATCTCGGTGAGATATGAGAAGTCCTTACCTGATGGTAAGGTCAAGCAAGTATTTTTTTTTTATCCCGATGGTAAGCTTTTTTAGTCCCAATTATTATATTTTGTTGGTTTCAAGATTAAAACTTTGGGGAGAGCATATTAATAAACTAAAATTCATATTTGGATAAGCATGCACTGATCAATTTGTTTTGGAACAAAATGACAAGATCAACATGATCTGTTATGAAACGAATTGAAAAATTAAACAAAGTATCGAATTGCATACCTCATTTTGAAGTTGAAAGATGATTCTGTTGCAGAAAAGTATCTACAATCCTCTGACCTTTTTATGCATACAGATTATATATACACTTGCTTTTCAATCAGTTTTCCCAATATCTTACTATTAGGAAGAGAAGAATCTTTGTCATTGCTCTCCTCTCAGTTTTTGAATCATACTTCATTGTGCAGGCAATGGATTGGAGGTTGCAGGTCAATGAACTCGACACCGACACAGAAGGCTGCTCAAAATGGTCAAGTAGATTCACATGAAGCAGATGATCTGTAAATCTTACTAAGATTTTCTTACAGTACAGACAATAAGTTGCAATGGCCATTTTCATCTATCTAGTTGTACCTCAAGGGTTCTTGTAGTTATGATGTTTTGCCAATTGACACATACTGGACATTTGAAGTTTAATCTATTTCAGTCCTGATAATTGACACTTTTTTTTTAAAGGTGAATGTGGGAGCAAATATTTTCGTCTCCAATCAGAGCACGCCACGTGGAAAAGAAGATTATCCCTTAAATTAATTAATTAAATTATTTATTGGGATAATTAATTAATCAGGATAATATCTTAGTTATATGGTATTATCTCATAATTAATAAAGATAATATCATTA